CCTACTCCCCATCTCCCCATAAAGCCCCATAGAGCCCCATACCCCCATACCCCCCATCACTCCATAGAGCCCCATAGAGCCCCATACCCCCCATAGAGCCCCATACCCCCCTTACCCCCCATCGCCCCACAGAGCCTCATAGAGCCCCATATCCCCCATACACTCCATAGCCCCACAGAGCCCCATACCCCCATACCCCCGATATCCTCCATACCCCCATCTCCCCCCCTACCCCCCACAGAGCCCCATACCCTCCATATCCCCCATAGAGCCCCACAGCCCCATAGAGCCCCACAGCCCCATAGAGCCCCACAGCCCCATAGAGCCCCATACCCCCCATACCCTCCATACCCCCATCTCCCCCCATACCCCCCACAGAGCCCCATACCCTCCATATTCCCCATAGAGCCCCCATCTCCCACCATAGAGCCCCACAGAGCCCCATAGAGCCCCACAGAGCCCCATAGAGCCCCCATCGCCCCATAGAGACCCATAGAGCCCCATAGAGCCCCACAGAGCCCCATAGAGCCCCATGCCCCCCATAGCCCCCATCACCCCATAGAGCCCCCATCGCCCCATAGAGCCCCACAGAGCCCCATAGAGCCCCCATCGCCCCATAGAGCCCCACAGAGACCCATAGAGCCCCCCATCGCCCCATAGAGCCCCACAGAGCCCCATAGAGCCCCACAGAGCCCCATAGAGCCCCATAGAGCCCCACAGAGCCCCATAGAGCCCCATAGAGCCCCACAGAGCCCCATAGAGCCCCATACAGCCCCATAGAGCCCCATAGAGCCCCATAGAGCCCCATAGAGCCCCATAGAGCCCCATAGAGCCCCACAGAGCCCCATAGAGCCCATACAGCCCCATAGATGGAGCCCCACAGAGCCCCATAGAGCCCCATAGAGCCCCATAGAGCCCCAATAGAGCCCCACAGAGCCCCATAGAGCCCCATAGAGCCCCATAGAGCCCCACAGAGCCCCATAGAGCCCCACAGAGCCCCATAGAGCCCCATACAGCCCCATAGAGCCCCACAGAGCCCCCATTCACCCCCATAGAGCCACCATAGAGCCCCATAGAGCCCCACAGAGCCCCATAGAGCCCCATACCCCCAGCTCAGCTCCACCGGGAGTGGCTCCGCACCACAGTCCCAGCACCGGGGACCGAACCTGCGGTGGGCAGCACGGGGGGGAGAGACTGGGAGAGACTGGGAGAGCTATGGAGCCCTATGGAGCCCTATGGAGCCCTATGGAGCCCTATGGAGCCCTATGGAGCCCCTATGGAGCCCTATGGAGCCCTATGGAGCCCTATGGAGCCCTATGGAGCCCCTATGGAGCCCTATGGAGCCCTATGGAGCCCCTATGGGCTTCCTATGGAGCCCTATGGAGCCCTATGGAGCCCCTATGGAGCCCTATGGAGCCCTATGGAGTCCTATGGAGTCCTATGGAGCCCCTATGGAGCCCCTATGGAGCCCTATGGAGCCCTATGGAGCCCCTATGGAGCCCTATGGAGCCCTATGGAGCCCTATGGAGCCCCTATGGAGCCCTATGGAGCCCTATGGAGCCCCTATGGGCTTCCTATGGATCCCTATGGAGCCCCTATGGAGCCCTATGGAGCCCTATGGAGCCCCTATGGGCTTCCTATGGAGTCCTATGGAGCCCTATGGAGCCCTATGGAGCCCCTATGGAGCCCCTATGGGCTTCCTATGGAGCCCTATGGAGCCCTGTGGAGCCCCTATGGGCTTGCTATGGAGCCCTATGGAGCCCCTATGGGCTTCCTATGGAGTCCTATGGGCTTCCTATGGAGCCCTATGGAGCCTCTATGGAGCCCTATGGAGCCCTATGGAGCCTCTATGGAGCCCTATGGAGCCCCTATGTGCTTCCTATGGAGCCCTATGGAGCCCCTATGGAGCCCCTATGGAGTCCTATGGAGTCCCTATGGGCTTCCTATGGAGCCCTATGGAGTTCTATGGAGTCCTATGGAGCCCCTATGGGCTTCCAATGCAGTCCTATGGAGCCCCTATGGAGTCCTATGGAGTCCTATGGAGCCCCTATGGAGTCCTATGGAGTCCTATGGAGCCCCTATGGAGCCCTATGGAGCCCTGTGGAGCCCCTATGGAGTCCTATGGAGTCCTATGGAGTTCCTATGGGCTTCCTATGGAGCCCCTATGGGCTTCCTATGGATCCCTATGGAGCCCTAGGGAGCCCCTATGGAGCCCCTATGGGCTTCCTATGGAGCCCCTATGGGCTTCCTATGGACCCCTATGGAGCCCTATGGAGCCCCTATGGAGTCCTATGGAGTCCTATGGAGCCCCTATGGAGCCCTATGGAGCCCTATGGAGCCCTATGGAGCCCTAGGGAGCCCCTATGGAGCCCCTATGGGCTTCCTATGGAGCACTATGGAGCCCTATGGGCTTCCTAAGGAACCCTATGGACTTCCTATGGAACATTATGGAGCCCTATAAAACCCTATGGAGTCCCTATGGGCTTCCTATGGAGCCCCCATGGAACTCTATGGAACCCCTATGGGCTTCCTACGGAACCCTATGGAACCCTATGGAGCCCTATGGAACCATATGGGATTCCTATGGACCCCCTATGGAACCCTATGGAGCCCCTATGGGCTTCCTATAGAATCCTATGGAACCCTATGGAGCCCCTATGGGCTTCCTATGGAACCCTATGGAGCCCTATGGAACCCTATGGGCTTCCTATGGAGCCCTATGGAACCCTATGGAGCCCTATGGAGCCCCTATGGGCTTCCTATGGAACCCTATGGAGCCCCTATGGGCTTCCTATGGAGCCCTATGGACCCCCTATGGAGCCCCTATGGAGCCATATGGAACCGTACGGGATTCGTATGGAACACTATGGAGCCCTATGGAGTCCTATGGAACCCTATGGAACCCTATGGGCTTCTTATGGAGCCCCTATGGAATCCTATGGAACCCCTAGGGGCTTCCTACGGAACCCTATGGAGCCCTATGGAACCCTATGGAACCCCTATGGGCTTCCTACGGAACCCTATGGAGCCCTATGGAACCCTATGGGATTCCTATGGACCCCCGATGGAACCCTATGGAACCCTATGGAGCCCTATGGAACCCTATGTGCTTCCTATGGAGCCCTATGGGCTCCCTATGGATCCCTATGGAACCCTATGGAACCCTATGGAGCCCTATGGAACCCTATGTGCTTCCTATGGAGCCCTATGGGCTCCCTATGGAACCCTATGGAGCCCTATGGAGCCCCTATGGGCTTACTATGGAGCCTCTATGGAGCCCTATGGAGCCCCTATGGGCTTCCTATGGAACCCTATGGAACCCTATGGAGCCCTATGGAGCCCCTATGGAGCCCCTATGGGCTTCCTATGGAACCCTATGGAACCCTATGGAGCCCCTATGGGCTTCCTATGGAGCTCTACGGAGACCTATGGAACCCTATGGAACTCTATGGGCTTCTATGGAACCCCCCTTGCACCCTATGGACCCCCTATGGGCTCCCTATGGACCCCCATGGCCCCCCTATGGGTCCCCTATGGAACCCCCCATAGCCCCCCTATGGACTCCCCCTAAGAAACCCCTATGGGCTTCATATGGACCCCCCTAAAGGCCCCCTACGGACACCCCCCCCCCCCGATGGACCCCCCCTTAAGACCCCCTAAGGACTCCCTATGGGCCCCATATGGGCACCCTATGGAACCCCCTATGGAACCCCCTATAGGCCCCCTATGGACTCCCCCTAAGAGACCCCTATGGGCTTCATATGGACCCCCCCTTAGGACCCCCTAAGAACCCCCCTAAGGACTCCCTATGGGCCCCATATGGGCACCCTATGGAACTCCCTATGGAACCCCCTATAGCCCCCCTATGGACTCCCCCTAAGAGACCCCTATGGGCTTCATATGGACACCCCCCCTTTCCCCCCTAAGGACTCCCTATGGGACCCTATGGAACCCCCTATAGCCCCCCTATGGACTCCCCCTAAGAGACCCCTATAGGTTTCATATGGGCCCCCCAAGGGCCCTCTATGGACCCCCCCCACCAAGGACCCCCCTTAAGACCCACTAAGGGCTCCCTATGGGCACCCTATGGAACCCCCTATGGAACCCCCTATAGCCCCCCTATGGACACCCCCTAAAGAGACCCCTATAGGTTTCATATGGGCCCCCCAAGGGCCCTCTAGGGACCCCCCCCACCAAGGACCCCCGTAACCACCCCCTGTCACCCCTTAAGGACCCCAAGATCCCCCCCCCCCCCCCAACCACTCTGGGAACCCCCAAATCTGCTGCCCTCCTGGACACACCCCCCCCCCAAGGACCCCCCCCATGTCTATAGGGGTCTCTCTAGGGGTCTATAGGGGTCTCTCTAGGGGTCTATAGGGGTCTCTATAGGGGTCTATAGGGGTCTCTCTAGGGGTTTCTAGGGGTCTCTATAGGGGTCTCTCTAGGGGTCTATAGGGGTCTCTATAGGGGTCTATAGGGGTCTCTATAGGGGTCTACAGGGGTCTCTATAGGGGTCTCTATAGGGGTTTCTATAGGGGTCTATAGGGGTCTATAGGGGTCTATAGGGGTCTATAGGGATGTATAGGGGTCTATAGGGATGTATAGGGGTCTATAGGGGTCTATAGGGATCTATAGGAGGTCTATAGGGGTCTATAGGGATATATAGGGGTCTCTATAGGGGTCTCTATAGGGGTCTCCTGGGGTCTCTAGGGGTCTCTATAGGGGTCTATAGGTGCTCTATAGGGGTCTCTATAGGGATCTCTATAGGGGTCTCTAATGATCTCTATAGGGGTCGCTACAGAGGTCTATAGGGGTCTCTATAGGGGTCTCTATAGGGGTCTCTAGGGATCTCTATAGGGGTCTCTATAGGGGTCTCTATAGGGGTATATAGGGGTCTATAGGGGTCTGTAGGTGTTCTCTACAGGGTACCTTAATGTAGTCCTGCTGGTCAATGTGCTCTGGCTCTATAGGTGTCAATAGGTGTCTATAGGGGTGGCCACAGGTACCTATAGGTGTCTATAGGGTACCTCGATGTAGCCCTGCTGTGTTTGGCTCTATAAGGGTTTATAGGGTTCCCTATAGGCATCCATAGGGGTGTCTATAGGTGTCCACAGGTGTCTCTATAGGGTAGCGCAATATAGCCCTGCTGGACAATGAGCTGTGTTTGGGTGCATTGGGCTCTATAGGCATCTATAGGGGTATCTATAGGGGTCCATAGGGGTCTATGGGGTATCTCAATGTAGCCCTGCTGTGTTTGGGTCTACAGATGTATTTATAGGGGTGTCTATAGGTATCTATAGGGGGTACCTCAATGTAGCCCTGCTGGTCAATGAGGTGTGTTTATAGGGGCCACCTATAGGGATATCTATAGGGGTCCATAGGGGTCTCTATAGGGGTCTCTAGGGGTCTTTCTAGGGGTCTCTCTAGGGGTCTATAGGGTTCTTTATAGGGGTCTCTATAGGGGTCTCTAGGGGTCTCTAGGGGTCTCTATAGGGGTCTATAGGGGTCTATAGGCACTCTATAGGGGTCTCTATAGGGATCTCTATAGGGGTCTCTAATGATCTCTATAGGGGTCGCTACAGAGGTCTCTAGGGATCTCTGTAGGGGTCTATAGGGGTCTCTGTAGGAGTCTATAGGGATCTCTATAGGGGTCTCTATAGGGGTATATAGGGGTCTATAGGGGTCTCTGTAGGAGTCTATAGGGATCTCTATAGGGATCTCTATAGGGGTCTATAGGGGTCTATAGGGGTCTCTGTAGGAGTCTATAGGGATCTCTATAGGGGTCTCTATAGGGGTCTATAGGGGTCTATAGGGGTCTCTGTAGGAGTCTATAGGGGTCCCTATAGGGGTCTATAGGGATCTATAGGCATTCTCTACAGGGTACCTTAATGTAGCCCTGCTGGTCAATGAGCTCTGGCTCTATAGGTGTCAATAGGTGTCTATAGGGGTGTCCACAGGTACCTATAGGTGTCTATAGGGTACCTCGATGTAGCCCTGCTGTGTTTGGGCCTATAAGGGTTTATAGGGTTCCCTACAGGCATCCATAGGGGTGCCTATAGGTGTCCACAGGGGTCTCTATAGGGTAGCGCAATATAGCCCTGTATTTATAGGGGTGTCTATAGGTATCTATAGGGGGTACCTCAATGTAGCCCTGCTGGTCAATGAGGTGTGTTTATAGGGGCCACCTATAGGGACATCTATAGGGGTCCATAGGGGTCTATGGGGTACCTCCATGTAGCCCTGCTTGTCGAGGAGCTGTTTGGTGCATAGGTGTCTATAGGGGCATCTATAGGGGGCTCTGTAGGTGTCCATAGGGGTGTCGATAGAGGGGTACCTCGATGCGGCCCTGCTAGTCGATGAGCAGTGTCTATAGGGGTGTCTACAGGGGTGTCTATAGGGGTGTCCATAGGGGTGTCTATAGGGGTGTCTATAGGGGTGTCTATAGGGGTGTCTATAGGGATGTCTATAGGGGTGTCTATAGGGGTTTCTATAGGGGTGTCTATAGGGGTGTCTATAGGGGTGTCTATAGGGATGTCTATAGGGATGTCTATAGGGGTGTCTATAGGGATGTCTATAGGGATGTCTATAGGGGTGTCTATAGGGATGTCTATAGGGGTGTCTATAGGTCCCTATAGGGATGTCTATAGGGGTGTCTATGGGGTCCCTATAGGGATGTCTATAGGGTCCCTCTGGGGTACCTGATGCAGCCCTGCTGCTCAATGAGCTGTGTCTATAGGGCTGTCTATAGGGGTGTCTATAGGGGTGTCTATAGGGGGTGTCTATAGGGGTGTCTATAGGGATGTCTATGGGGTGTCCCTGATAGGGATAGGGGTGTCTATAGGGCTGTCTATAGGGGTGTCCATGGGTCCCTATAGGGATGTCTATAGGGCTGTCTATAGGGGTGTCTATAGGGGTGTCTATAGGGATGTCTATAGGGGTGTCTATAGGGATGTCTAAAGGGTGTCCATGGGATGTCTATAGGGATGTCTATAGGGGTGTCTATAGGGGTGTCTATAGGGGTGTCTATAGGGGTGTCTATAGGGGTGTCTATAGGGATGTCTATAGGGGTCTCTATAGGGATGTCTATAGGGGTGTCCATGGGTCCCTATAGGGATGTCTATGGGGTCCCTCTGGGGTACCTGATGCAGCCCTGCTGGTCAATGAGCTGTGTCTATAGGGGTGTCTATAGGGCTGTCTATAGGGGTGTCCATGGGTCCCTATAGGGATGTCTATGGGGTCCCTCTGGGGTACCTGATGCAGCCCTGCTGGTCGAGGAGCACTGCTCAGGTTTGGGGTCCCATCGCGTGCAGGGACTCCGAGGTCACCAAGATTTGGGCTGCGTAGAAGCGGGTGTGGGGCTCGCTTGGGGTGGGGGGGGGTCAGAGCCCACCCAGCCCCCAGGGGGACCCAATGGGGACCCAACCCCCCCAACCCTCAGGGGCACCCAGGAGAACCCTCAGCACCCCCCAAAACCTCCTGTGAGATCCGCAAAACCCCCTTAAGGGACCCCTCAAATCCCCCTATGGGACCCCCAAACCCCCATAAGGGACCCCCCAAACCCCCATAAGGGATCCCTCAAACCCCCTTATGAGAACCCCCAGCCCCCCCTATGGGACCCCCAAACCCCCCTATGGGACTCCTCAAATACTATGGGTCCCCCCCAAACCCCCCTATGGGTACCCCCCAAACCCCCCTATGGGACCCCCCAAACCCCCCTATGGGACCCCTCAAATACTATGGGTCCCCCCCAAACCCCCGTATGGGTACACCCCAAACCCCTCTATGGGACCCCCCAAACCCCCCTATGGGACCCCCAAACCCCCCTATGGGACTCCTCAAATACTATGGGTCCCCCCCAAACCCCCCTATGGGACCCCCCAAACCCCCCTATGGGACCCCCCAAACCCCCCTATGGGACCCCTCAAATACTATGGGTCCCCCCCAAAGCCCCCCTATGGGAACCCCCAAACCCCCCTATGGGACCCCCCCAACCCCCCCTATGGGACTCCTCAAATACTATGGGTCCCCCCCAAACTCCCTATGGGACCCCCCCAAACCCCCCTATGGGACTCCTCAAATACTATGGGTCCCCCCCAAACTCCCTATGGGAACCCCCAAAACCCCCTATGGGAACCCTCAAATCCCCCTATGGGAACCCCCAAATCCCCCTATGGGACCCCTCACATGCTATGGGACCCCCCAAACCCCCTCTATGAGACCCCTCAAGCCCCCCTATGGGACTCCTCAAACCCCCCTATAGGACCCCAAGGCACCCCTATGGGCACCCCTATGGACCCCCCCACATAACCCCCCCTGCCCCACTGACCTGAAGTGGCCAATGGGGCGCAGGTGGGAGAACATCTCCCGCCCCCCAGATGCATTCCATGACCATGTAGAGGTTGGAGTTGTCCTGATGGGGGGCACGAGGCACGTCCAGGGGGGGCAGGGGACACCTTGGGGACAGCCCCGGGGGGGGGGGGACACACGCTGGGGACCACCCAGGGGACAGGGGATGGCCGGGGGGGGGGGCACCCAGGGACACCCCAAAGGATACGCAAAGGATACTGAATAGATACCCAAGGGACACCCAAGGGACACCCAATGGATACCCAATGGATACCCAAGGGACACCCAATGGATACCCAAGGGACACCCAATGGACACCCAAGGGACACCCAATGGATACCCAATGGATACCCAAGGGACACCCAATGGATACCCAAGGGACACCCAATGGATACCCAAGGGACACCCAATGGACACGCAAGAGACACCCAATGGATACCCAAGGGACACCCAATGGATACCCAAGGGACACCCAATGGACACGCAAGAGACACCCAATGGATACCCAGTGGACACCCAATGGACACGCAAGAGACACCCAATGGATACCCAAGGGACACCCAATGGACACCCAAGGGACACCCAATGGATACCCAAGAGACACCCAATGGACAGGCAAGAGACACCCAATGGATACCCAAGGGACACCCAATGGATACCCAAGGGACACCCAATGGACACGCAAGAGACACCCAATGGACAGGCAAGAGACACCCAATGGATACCCAAGGGACACCCAATGGACACCCAATAGATACCCAATGGACACGCAAGAGACACCCAATGGATACCCAAGGGACACCCAATAGATACCCAATGGACACCCAACAGAGACCCAATAGACACCCAATGGATACCCAAGGGACACCCAATGGACACCCAATGGATACCCAAGGGACACCCAATGGATACCCAAGGGACACCCAAGGGACACCCAATGGATACCCAAGGGACACCCAATGGACACGCAAGAGACACCCAATGGATACCCAAGGGACACCCAATGGATACCCAATGGACACCCAATGGATACCCAAGGGACACCCAATGGACACACAAGAGACACCCAAGGGATACCCAAGGGACACCCAATGGATACCCAAGGGACACCCAATGGATACGCGAGGGACAGCCAATGGATACTCAGAGGGACCCCAAAGGACATCCAATGGACACCCAGTGGACACCCAACGGACATTCAATGGACACCCAAAAGGATACCCAATGGACACTCAATGGATATCCAATGGACACCCAAGGGATACCCAATGGATACCCAAAGGACACACAAGAGACACCCAATGGGTAACCAATGGACACCCAAGGGAGACCCAATAGACACCCAATGGACACCCAAGGGATACCCAATGGACAAACAATGGACAGGCAAGGGAAACCAAATGGATACCGAATGGACACCCGACAGACACCCAAGGGACACCCAATGGATACCCAAGAGACACTCAAGAGACACCCAATGGACACTCAATGGATACCCAATGGACATCCAAGGGACAACAAATGGACACCCAAGGGACACCCATTGGATACCCAAGAGACACTCAAGAGACACCCAATGGACACTCAATGGATACCCGATGGACATCCAATGGACAGCCAAGGGACAACAAATGGACACCCAATGGACACCCAATGGACACCCAATGGATACCCAAGGGACACCCAATTGACACCCAAGGGACACCCAAGGGGCACTCAAGGGATACCCAATGGACACCCAATGGATATCCAAGGGACACCAGAGGGCCACCCAATGGACACACAATGGATACCCAAGGGACACCCAGGGGACACCCAATGGAAATCCAAGGGACACCCCAGGATACCCAATGGACACCCAACGGACACCCAATGGACAAACAAAGGACACCCCAGGATACCCAATGGACACCCAATGAACAGGCAAGAGACACCCAATGGACACCCAATGGATACTCAATGGATACCCAAGGGACACCAAATGGCCACACAAGGGACAACAAATGGACACCCAAGGGACACCCAAAAGGTTACCCATTGGACACCAAATGGACATGCAAGAGACACTCAATGGACACCTAATGGATACCCAAGGGACACCCAAATGGATACGCAATGGATACCCATGGGACACCCAATGGATACCCAAGGGACACCCAAATGGATACGCAATGGATACCCAAGGGACACCCAATGGATACTCAGAGGGACACCAAAGGACATCCAATGGACACCCAGTGGACACCCAATGGACATTCAATGGACACCCAAAAGGATACCCAATGGACACCCAATGGATATCCAATGGACACCCAAGGGCCACCCAATGGATACCCCATGGATACCGAACAGATACCCAAGGGCCACCCAACGGATACCCAATGGATACCCAATGGGTACCCCATGGATACCCAATGGACACCCAATGGGTACCCCATGGACACCCAATGGGTACCCCATGGATACCCAATGGACACACAATGGGCACCCAATGGACACCCAATGGACACACAATTGGCACCCAATGGACACCGGAATGAATACATAATGGACACCCGAATGGATACGCAATGGATACCCAATGGATACAGAACAGATACCCAATGGATATCCAAGGGACATCCAATGGATACTCAGAGGGACCCCAAAGGACACCCAATGGATACCCAAAGGATACCCATTGGATACCCAAGGGACATCCAATGGACACCTAGCGGACACCAAACGGACACTCAATGGACACCCAAAAGGATACCCAGTGGGCACTCAATGGATATCCAATGGACACCCAAGGGCCACCCAATAGATACCGAACAGATACCCAAGGGCCACCCAATGGATACCCAAGGGCCACCCAATGGATACCCAATGGATACCCAAGGGCCACCCAATGGATACCCAACGGATACCCAAGGGCCACCCAATGGATACCGAACAGATACCCAAGGGCCACCCAATGGATACCCAAGGGCCACCCAATGGATACCCAATGGATACCCCATGGATACCGAACAGACACCCAAGGGCCATCCAATGAACATCCAATGGATACCCAATGAACATCCAATGGATACCCAGTGGACACCCAATGGGCACCCAATGGATACCCAATGGACACCCAAGGGCCACTCAATGGATACCTAATGGATACCCAACGGATACCCAAGGGCCACCCAATGGATACCCAAGGGCCACCCAATGGATACCCAATGACACCCAATGGACACCCAAAGGCCACCCAATGGACACTGGTGCCCACCTTGAAGGATGACTCGAGGCGCACAAGGAAGGGGAAGGTGACGGCCTGGAGGATGCGCTTCTCATTGAGTGTGGGCTTGATCTGCTTCAGCTTCCAAACCTGTGGGGACACTGTGGGGAAACCATGGGGACACCATTGGGACACCGTGAGGACACCATGGGGACACCATAGGGACACCATTGGGACACCATGGGGACACCATTGGGACACCATAGTGACACCATGGGGACACCAGGGGGACACCATAGGGACACCATGGGGACACCGTGGGGACACCATGGGGACACCATGGAGACACCGTGGGGACACCATTAGGACACCGTGGGGACACGGTGGGGACACCATTGGGACACCATTGGGACACCATGGGGACACCATTGGGACACCATTGGGACACCATTGGGACACCATGGGGACACCATTGGGACACCATGGGGACACCATGGGGACACCATTGGGACACCATGGGGACACCATTGGGACACCATGGGGACACCATGGGGACACCATGGGGACACCGTGGGGACACCATTGGGACACCATTGGGACACCATTGGGACACCATTGGGACACCATGGGGACACCATGGGGACACCATGGGGACACCATTGGGACACCATGGGGACACCATGGGGACACCATTGGGACACCATTGGGACACCATTGAGACACCATTGGGACACCATGGGGACACCATTGGGACACCATTGGGACACTGTGAGGACACCATGGGGACACCATGGGGACACCATTGGGACACCGTGGGGACACCATGGGGACACCATTGGGACACCATGGGGACACCATGGGGACACCATTGGGACACCATTGGGACACCATTGGGACACCATGGGGACACCATTGGGACACCGTTGGGACACCGTTGGGACACCATTGGGACACCATGGGGACACCATTGGGACACCATTGGGACACCATGGGGACACCATGGGGACACCATTGGGACACCATTGGGACACCGTGGGGACACCATTGGGACACCATGGGGACACCATTGGGACACCATGGGGACACCATTGGGACACCGTGGGGACACCGTGGGGCCACCGTGGGGACACCATTGGGACACCATTGGGACACCATTGGGACACCATTGGGACACCGTGGGGACACCATTGGGACACCATTGGGACACCGTGGGGACACCATGGGGACACCATGGGGACACCATGGGGACACCATTGGGACACCATGGGGACACCATGGGGACACCATTGGGACACCATGGGGACACCATGGGGACACCATGGGGACACCAATGGGACATCATGGGGACGCCATGGGGATGCCATGGGGACACCATGGGGACGCCAATGGGACATCATGGGGACGCCATGGGGACGCCATGGGGACACCATAGAGAAGCCATGGGGACACCATGGGGACACCATGGGGACACCACACCATTGGGACACCATGGGGACACCATGGGGACACCATGGGGACACCATGGGACACCATGGGGACACCATGGGGACACCATTGGGACACCATTGGGACACCGTGGGGACACCATGGGGACACCATAGGGACACCATTGGGACACCATTGGGACACCATGGGGACACCATTGAGACACCATGGGGACACCATTGAGACACCATGTGGACACCATAGGGACACCATGGGGACACCATTGGGACACCATGGGGACACCATTGGGACACCATGGGGACACCATGGGGACACCATTGGGACACCATTGAGACACCATGGGGACACCATTGGGACACCATTGAGACACCGTGGGGACACCATGGGGACACCATGGGGACACCATTGGGACACCGTTGGGACACCATTGGGACACCATTGGGACACCATTGGGACACTGTGAGGACACCATGGGGACACCATTGGGACACCATTGGGACACCATGGGGACACCATTGGGACACCATTGGGACACCGTGGGGACACCATTGGGACACCATGGGAACACCACGGAGACACCATTGGGACACTGTCGGGACACCATTGGGACACCGTGGGGACACCATAGGGACACCATTGGGACACCATTGGGACACCATTGGGACACCATTGGGACACCATGGGGACACCATTGGGACACCATGGGGACACCATGGGGACACCATTGGGACACCATTGGGACACCATGGGGACACCATGGGGACACCATTGGGACACCATTGGGACACCATTGGGACACCATGGGGACACCATTGGGACACCATTGGGACACCATTGGGACACCATGGGGACACCATTGGGACACCATGGGGACACCATTGGGACACCATGGGGACACCATTGGGACACCATTGGGACACCATTGGGACACCATGGGGACACCATTGGGACACCATTGGGACACCATGGGGACACCATGGGGACACCGTGGGGACACCATGGGGACACCATGGGGACACCATTGGGACACCATTGGGACACCATGGGGACACCACACCATGGGACACCGTGGGGACACCATGGGGACACCACTGGGACACCATGGGGACACCATTGGGACACCATGGGGACACCATGGGGACACCATAGGGACACCATGGGGACACCATTGGGACACCATGGGGACACCGTGGGGACACCATTGGGACACCATTGGGACACCATTGGGACACCATTGGGACACCATTGGGACACCATGGGGACACCATTGGGACACCATTGGGACACTGTGGGGACACCATTGGGACACCATTGGGACACTGTGAGGACACCATGGGGACACCATGTGTGACACCATCGGCCCCCAGTGTGACACCATGTCATTCACCACAGTGGCACACCATGGCACCATGACACCATCATGCCCCTCCATGGACATCATCACTGGGTGACGTCATCACCCTTAGTGTGACATCATCACCCCTGTGTGACACCATCACTGACACCATCATGCCCCTCCATGTGACATCATCACTCGTAGCATGACGTCATCACCCCCAGTGTGACATCATCACCCCTGTGTGACACCATCATGCCCCTCCATGTGACATCATCACTCGCAGCGTGACGTCATCACCCTCAGTGTGACATCATCACCCCTGTGTGACCCCATCACCCCTGGGTGTCGTCATCACCCCCGAGTGTGATGTCATCAACCACAGTGACATCACCACCCGCGCATGACACCATCATCCCTGTTTGACATCACCACCCCCATGTGACATCACCAACCCATGTGACATCACCAACCCCCATGTGACATCACCACCATCATGCCCATGTGACATCCACCCCCATGTGACACCATCACCCCATGTGTGATCACCAACCCCCTGTGTGACACCATCACTCACCACCACCCCATGTGACATCACCACCCCCATGTGACATCATCACCCCCATGTGACATCATCACCCCCCATGTGACATCACCACCCCCACCATCATGCCCCTCCATGTGACATCATCACTCGCAGCGTGACGTCATCACCCTCAGTGTGACATCATCACCCCTGTGTGACACCATCACTGACACCATCATGCCCCTCCATGTGACATCATCACCCCCAGTGTGACATCATCACCCCTGTGTGACACCATCACCCCTGGGTGTCGTCGTCACCACCATGTGACATCATCACCCCCTGTGATGTCACCACCCCCATGTGACATCACCACCCCCATGTGACATCACCAACCCATGTGACATCACCAACCCCCATGTGACATCACCACCCCCATGTGACATCACCAACCCCATGTGACATCATCACCCCCATGTGACATCACCACCACCCCCATGTGACATCACCACCCCCATGTGACATCACCACCCCCATGTGACATCACCACCCCCATGTGACACCACCAACCCCCATGTGACATCACCACCCCCATGTGACACCACATGTGTCCCCCATGTGACATCACAACCCCCATGTGACATCACCACCCCCATGTGACACCAACCCCATGTTACATCACCAACCCCCAGTGTGACATCACCAACCCCATGTGACATCACCACCACCCCATGTGACACCACCACCCCCATGTGACATCACCACCCCCATGTGACACCACCAACCCCATGTGACATCACCAACCCCCCATGTGACATCACCACCCCCATGTGACATCACCACCCCCATGTGACATCACCACCACCCCCATGTGACACCACCACCCCCATGTGACATCACCACCACCCCACGTGACAGGAGGGGCCCCAGGACACGCCCCCAGCACCATGGGTCCCACCCATGGGCTCTGGACCCTCCCATGTCCTTTGTGGGGGGGGGCACTCCCGGTCCTGGCCCGGATTCTCCCATTTCTTGCTGAAATCCTTGGCCCTGAAGCCAGGGATCCCTTCACTGCGCTGCTTGGGGGGCAGGATATGGGGCGGGGGGGTCACTACAGCGCCCCCAACCCCCCCCGTACCCCACTGTGCCCCCCAAACCCCCCCCCCCCATCCCCTCAGCTCCCCACATCCCACCCGGGCTCCCCCTTCCCGCCTATCCCCATGGCAACCGCGCAAGCCACGCCCCCTTGGACGATCCCGCCCCGCTCCTCTCCCCGCCGCTCATTGGTCCAGCCGCTAAGCTGCCGCCCTCCTATTGGTCCGCCCAATCCTTTAGGGCCCGCCCCCCCCTATTGGTCGGAGAAGCCGTCCCTCCGACCCTCGGCCCGCCCCCCCCCGCCGCTCATTGGCTGAGAGAGGATTTAAATCGGGGGCGGGGCTTAGCGTGGGAATGGCAGCGGGAGGGAGGCGGGGCTTGCAAGAGGAGGCCACGCCCCCGGCACCGTTAATTAACCTTAATTAACGCCTCAGCCGCGCAGGACATTAATTATAAGCACCCCCCCCTTGCAATTAGCATCCAGTCATCAGCCAGCTCATTAACATATGCTCATTAGCATATGCTCGTGCTCATTACAGGGCTCCTGCACCATGAGCTACTCTTAATTACTCACTGGGGGGGGGATAATGAGCCTCAGCTCCCGCCCAGGACGGATCCAGTCCGGGTTTTACCCCCACCCCCCGGCTCCATGCCGGGGCGGATCCAGTCCGGGTTTCCCCCCCCCCCGTCATTCGGTACCGGATCCATTCCGTGTTTTACCCCCCCCCCCGGCTCCATCCCGGGGCGGATCCAGTCCGGGTTTTCTTCCCTCTATTGGTACCGGATCCATTCCAGGCTTTACCCCCCCCCGCTCCATCCCGGGGTGGATCCAGTCCGGGTTTTCCCCCTTCAGTCGGTACCGGCTCCAGTCCAGTCTTTGCCCCCCCCCCCACTCCATTCCGGGCCGGATCCAGTCCGGGATTTCCCCCCCTCAATCAGCACTGGATCCATTCCAGTCTTTGCCCCCCTCTGCTCCATCCCGGGGTGAATCCAGTCCGGGTTTTCCTCCCTC